TGGTACTCTAAACAGAACATTGTAGTTTGAGAGTAGGAAGTACAAACTCCAAGTAACACGGCTATAATAATGCAGATCTTATGTCCAGCCATGCACTTAATAGCAGTAAAAGTGGATATGCTCCTTCATAATTTGAGAGATGTACATGAATAGAAGACGGCACTAAGCTGTGCTTTCACCAAATATCTTCAATGTGAAGCTTTATAATGTGCACCTGTGGGACATTCAAACATTTTTCCAGAGGCTCATATAGTCACAATCTGGTAATCTGCCTATTATTTCTGTTTAATTTTTCTGTCCATCTTCCTCCTAGGGAAGATCTATTCAGGCAGAAAACATGGACCTTTGGATTATTTAATGCTAAGAACATCTCTAAACTGAATATGTGCAGATGGTGTTGGGCACAGCAGGGTGAAAATGTGATTCCATTGCATCAGCAAAGAAATACATAGTGCTCCCTTTGTCCTTCTCCAAGTAGGAAACGGAAATGTTGAAACTGGACCAAATGGTTATATTGACATTGGTGGTGTAACTGGTAGCTGGGGGATATGGATTGCAGGAATTCCAGTTCCTAAAGCATTAAAGGAATTTGAAAGTTTACTTGTGCGGTCTGCCTTCAAAAATCAGGCATCCCATATGCAATGCTTGCTGGGTTCCCCAGAGAATCTGCACTTTTATTTGACTAAAATAACACAGTTCCCTCAATCATAGACTCCTAAATGGGGTTTGGACTCTGTAACCACCTGACCAGTGCTTTTAATACACTTTGGATGAAGAGGTATAACTTCTGGACCACAGATGTTAAGGCAGTAATTTTCATAATCAGTGGAAGTTCACACACATTTTGTGCTCGTGTTAGGATGCTACTAGCAATACAGTTCCAGATCTAAGGTGGGTGAACAAGTTTGGAAGACTAAAAAATGCTCTCAGTCATATACAACAAATCTTCACTAAAAAGCAAAGTGAAAATCTTTCTATAGAATGAACAATACCATCCTCTTTCATGTCTGACATTTGTATGTCATTTGAATGCAATGATTAGATCAGACTCCTAGAAGATCAGATTTCAGTTTATAATTATTTCCAGATTGATTGATCTATTTCTGGTTCCACACCCATTCATTTGAAATTGAAACAAATCTGGATTTTCCTTTTGGATTGCTATGTCTCTGCAGATCAGCTTGTAGAGATGGTCCTCATTTAATGATTACTCATTTAGCAACCACTCCAACTTCAACAATGCTGAATGAATGGTACTTGCAATTGGTCCTCAAATTTACATCAATCACCAGCCGTAGTCATGTGATCATGGTCCAGGTGATTGATGCCTAGTTTGTAATTATGATGTTGCAGCATCCTGCAGTCACATGATCACCATTTGCAACCTTCTTTGCTTGCTTCCTACAATCTGAAAAGCCAGCAGGAAGTTGTAAATAGCAACCATGTGACATGCTCACAATGGTTGGGATTAATGATGGTATGGGATTTGGCAAATAGAAGTGTAAAGGTGCTCTTCCTCCCTCCCTCCCTCCCTCTCTCCTTCCCTCCCTCCCTCTCTGTTTCTCTACCTACCTACCTACCTCCTTGTTGTAGTTCCTTCATGACTTGTGATACTTCTTGAGGTGAAATACTGATTAGATGATTTTCTTTGCCCTCTCTGTTGGTTGGCTGGAAGAATTACTCATTGACCTGGTCCAGTCGACACTCAACTTCCCACAATGTGTAAATCTAGTGTTTTATATACAGTTCCCTCTGCCTGAAAGATGCTGTCTCAGTTGTTAATCCAAATTAACACTATCTGATCTACACACATGTATCTAGTTTCCTCACTGAAAATAATTTAGTTAGACATGAACTGTTATACTTATAAAACTAAGCAGAAAAGCCTAGTGTAAGAATATGGCACCACATATTAATGACCGTATGCTTAAGTTTGAAAGATTAATCATCATGGATTAATTCTGGGCACAACTTTTTTTTACATGAGCAAAAAAAGTGGCATTTCTCTTTGGATCATGATATAGGACAATGTTTTATTTATGCAGGTGCAAAATGGTATGATATATATGCTGACTTACATAAATGCAAGTCTTTAACTTGGAAATCATACAGAAATGTCCCTGTTTTTTTAAAGAAGCCTGCAAGGTCTGGTCATGAAGGTCAACATATGGAATTGATTTAAAACATTATTCAAATGAGACTGCAGTGCCACTCATTTCTACTTTCTCCCAGTTGCACAGTAGAGGATTACTGGCACATTGCATCAGAGGATTTTGAGTTCAGTCTCCACTGGAACAAAAACTATCACAGAAGACCACACTCTTCAGTTGCAAAAGCTTTTTTTCCAACATGGTGCCCTCTAGACATGATACAACTTCAGAATTACCAATTGAAAGGTATCAAGTGTGTGGAAACTACAGTTAAGATTAATCAATGAACATCGCCATTATTTTTCTATGTAGATGGAAGCTTTTGCTTTTCTATAGTTTCCTTAACTGCATTATTCTTGAAGTACAATTGAATACAGTAATGTGACATTTTTTTAAATGCCTCAGAACTTTAGTCTACAAAATCCTTCTGTAGAGTAGTTAGGGTGCTTTGTCCTAATTTGAAGCATCCAGGTTAAATATTAATAAGATTATTCACAACCAGCAATGTGGATTGAGAACACTCAACTGCAGGGATGTGCAGTCAGGGGAGGCGGGGGAGGTGGGGCCTCACCAGTGTCATGAGGAAAAGAAAATATTTTTTAAAATAATTAAAAAGGCTAAGGTAGTTGTGACTCTGAGTCTGCTTAGTGCTAACTGTAGGGGGAGGCGAGAAAACTATGGGCTTCCTTTGCATAAGGAATTTTTTACCTTTTAACCCTCGCTCAGAGTTAAGCAAGGATTAAAAGGCGAAAAATTCCTTATGCAAAGGAGGCCCATAGTTTTCTCGCCTCCCCCTACAGTTAGCACTAAGCAGACTCAGAGTCACAACTACCTTAGCCTTTTTAATTATTTTAAAAAATATTTTCTTTTCCTCATGACNCCAAGCCACTGTGAGCTGGAATCTGGTAGCAACTATCGTGGCTTTAATTATTTTAAAAAAAATATTTAAATTTCTTTCTTTTTCCTGAGGAGACTGGTGAGGCTCCGCCTCCCTTGCCTCTAGTGACTGCACGTCCCTACTCTGTGGTCATGTAGCCGGTATGACTAAATGCTGAAGGCACACATAACACTATTACTTTCCCACCAAGGTGGTTCCTATTTTTCTACTTGCATTTTTACATGTTTTCAAATTGGTAGGTTGGCAGAAGCTGGGACAAGTAAAGAGAGCTCACTCCATTACGCCGTGCTAGGGATTCGAACCGCCGAACTGCCAACCTTTCTGATTGACAAACTCAGCATCTTAGCCACTGAGCCACCACATCCCTTTAGAAGATGTCTTAGCCATGTAGTCAATGCTCTCCTAAGGGATTTTTTTTTTTGGGGGGGGGGGGTTAGAGGTTTTTTTTCTCCCTGAACAAGTCCTCACAGTTTTCTTAGCAAGATGGATTGCCTTCTTCCTAGAGCTGAGAAGGAGCAAACAAGTAACTGTCTCAAGTTCACCCATCTGACTTTCTGCCTAAAGTGGGGCTAGAACTTACATTTTCCCAGTTTCTAGAGTACTCATCATGGATTTCTTTCATTGGGACACAAATTATTGTATAAAATATTCCACCAGGAAAAGCTGTCAATCAATCCTATGAGTCCTATGGATATAATATTAAATGTATGGATTCCTAGCACTTTTTTTAAAGAGGAGGTAGACTTCAAATAAAATTAAAATTTATTTCAGAGTCAGATATTAAATGCATGTGATAAATAGGATCTTTTATTATTATTACATAATTTATCTTTCCCAATGTTTTCTTGCCATATTCTCTCTCTCTCCCTCTCTTTCTGCCTCTCTCCTAAGCATGTATTAAGATTGGCAGAGTTTTCATGCCACAGCTCCTTACCTATTCATATGCACAAATAAGCAGGTGTATCAATTAAAGCTTAATCTGCCAGATCTATTTAGCTGAATTGCCAAGGAGCATGCAAAGAGCTGCAGAACATCCCCAAATGTCTGCTAAGAATTAGAGGCATTTAGAATTCTTGGAGAGGACCTTAAATTATACCATCAATTTGGGGATGCATGGATCTACTCTCCTGAATAACTTCCCTTCCCTAAATGAACAGAGAGCAATTTCATTTTCATTCTATTCTTTTGCATTCTCCATTATTGTCCTGTTCTGCCTTTACCTAACCAATGTTATTCATAGGATTCCAGATATTTCATGACATTTGACCATGGATTCCCCTTCATGCTATTAAAGATAATTAGCTTTAGTTTGAAACAGTAGCAACAATAATCTGACAACATAAATAACAATCAGATTCCATCAAAAGCTCTTATCTTACACGTAATACTCCTTGGTGATTCAGAAGTGGCTGGAGCAAGGACATATTAAACTTCCTACTTCTCACTAGCTGTAATTCCAATCCAGATTAGAATATTTTGAATTAAATCAAAAGAAATTGGAGCATGATGACATTCATTGCATATCCTTTCCAGTTTAGTCCTCAGTAGAACATTGTTCAGTCCTTACATATATCACTTGGGGGAATCATTCCCTAAACTGGACTTCAAACAGATATGGGTTCTTCAACTCCTATCACTGGCCATACTGGAATCCATGCACCCAAATTGGAAAAGGCCATTTTAGAAATTCCTACTGACCATTTCCCTTCTTCTCCCCTCCTTCATTAGAACTGTGTTATAAATTATAGGGGTTTTTATTTATTCACCTTATAGACTTTCTATATCTACCTCTTGTTTTGCTTTAGATGAAAAATTATTTTGGAGACCATGTGATTGTTTCTTGATTTGAAGCCTAGCATTGTCCTTCCAGTATTCATTTCAGCACGTCACATATATAATGAAAGGTATAAAAGACATAAGGTAATAAACAAAATGTGGTTTCTTTTCCCCAGTTTACAGAGGAATATGAGGGAGTTGAAAAGCTGGTTGCCCAGAAATCCAATGAAACTTGATAAAGAAGCGCTTCCTGATCTGGAAGAAACAGATTGCTACACAGCTCCATTCAGCCGAGCACGTATTCATCAGTATGTGGTGAATTTAAAATATATTCATAGAGACAAGCAATAATGTTTCTTTTTTTCTTTCATGGGTTAACATAACAATATCCACAATATTAACAAATGTAATATTCAAACTGAATGGAAAACATAGTCCAAAAATGTTGGAGTCCATATTCAGCCATAAGTTGCAGAAGCATTTTCAGATGCATTGATCAGAAGCTGGTTCCACTCAACTAAAGTTGACTTTCTTAAATCATATCCATAATGGTTCAAAGACATAAGATTCAGTTTAGTCCTTTGAACTCGTAATTGTTTTAAGATGTTCTCTGTAATTGCTTCATTGCATGGTGGCTTATTTCAAGCAACTATTTCAAGTTCTCTGAACAATGCATATTTTGTTTTATTATTTTTGTCCTTCTATCGTAACAGTTTCAAAACAGCTTCAAAATGCATACATAAAACTATTAATATCTGTTTTAAATTTGATAAAAAAATATTCATTATGATAAATATTTTATGCTGATACATTGACAGCTGTTTCCAACACTGATATTGTCTCTTCAACAGTTTTACAATAAACAACAAAGATAGCTTCTTCAGCAACTCTACAAGGAGCAGGATGGTACACCACATGTTACAGAGAACAAAGTATGAAGATGGAAAACCAAAAATGGGTACAAGTTCATTTTAATATAACAATGCAGGTGTTGGAATTCTTGTTAAATAAATTCTTCCCTGATTTTGGCCTCAAGCCTCCTAAAAGATCTGATATGTCACTGACCGGATTTTGAACATGAAGGCATTAATGGTCTTGGACAGCCAAGTTTCAGTAATTGTGCCAGATATGCAGCCTCATCCGCCATCAGGCCATGCATGAAGATGGCCTTACTGCAAACAGACCTTCCATTCACTATCAGCACTTTAAAGCCAGATTCTCTAGCAATTTGGCCATTTGACCTTGATATGGAGTCATTAATTTGGAAGTTGAGATTGCCAATTTCCCCTGTAACAGTCCAAGGGATGCTCTGTGACAAATCTCCTTTGGCCCAGTACAATGGCTACAATCAATCCATCCTGCCAGAGTTGAGTAGTTCATCCCCTCTTTTGTAATCATTCAGGATTTACACACACACACACACACACACACACACACACACACAAACACACACACACACACACCATTCTCTATTCCTTACTTCTTCTAGTGCCTTCACAACCTTTCTTGCTGGAAAAAAATCATTACTGATTTGATCCTTTTTGAGCAGTGTACACCANGAGTCAACCCTGAGCCGGTGAGATTTGAACCGCTGAACTGCTGATCTAGCAGTAGCCTGCAGTGCTGCATTTAACCACTGCGCCACCTTGACAAATAAAAGTCATTGTGGTCACTCTCAAACATGCCTGTACAGCCTAATTTGGGTTCATCCTTGTAATATGGTGAATTGATACCAACTGATTTATGCAGTTCATTAGCTTGTGTACATTTAGCACATTGAAAGTTGTTTTAAGGCACAAGCTTCTATAATTTTGAAATACCCAAAGCAGCTCTAATTGGTTCCCTGCTTTAATGCAAATTAATCCCAATGGAGGATAAGTACATCTGCTGGCTCATGGGTTTTGATTGCAGCCTCCAGTTATTTACTCCAGAGAAAAGGTCTTGAAGTTAGTTGGGCTCTTCCAGAAATAAGTACATTATATCAATCATCACAAAATGAGCCATTGGCTTAAACAGCAAAAAGGCAAATCAATTTCAGGAAATTATTACATTGCTCTTCAGCAATGCTATAAACAATCCACTATTTCTCTCATATTAATTTCATTCAGGAAAAAAATAGTAAAAGATGAGCAAGGGGGGGGGGACAAGCAAACAATGGGCCATTTTCACAAAAATGGACCCCTTTTTCAAAAAAGGGACATGAATAGCCTTTAGGAGACTTATAGAGTGCTTCTGGGGGCTGGGGGGCAAAAATTAGCAAAAACAGCCTGTTTTCTTGCTTATTTCTGCCCTCCCCAGCCCCCAGGAGCACTCTGAAAGCCATTTTGGTGAAGGGGGCAGGGTTTCAGGAGGCAAAAAAATGCTGTATTCAGTGTCTAAGACACACCCAGATTTTCAGCCTCTTTTTTGAGGGAAAAAGGTGTGTCTTGTACTCCAAAAAATATGGTAGTAGGAAAAGGCCACAGGGCTAGAGCAATGTTCCTTCTTCCAGTGTGTAATATTTAGAGAGGGATAGATAGGGGAAATGAAGTTACATTTGGACCAAATCTGGATTGAAACCTGAAATTGAAAAATGTTCCCCTTTAAAAATGCCAAGCTGAGTCAAGAAACTACATGCAAGTTAATCTCATTATCTGTCCTTGATTTAATGACATTATTTTAAGCACAGGACTCCTTTGGGCATTGGGATAAGATTACTGCTGAAAGCTGAAGAAAATCTAACAATTTTCTTGTCAGTGCTGTCCTTAATTTTGATTCAAAATGAATTAAAGATATTTTAATAACCTTGCCTCGGTCAAAACCTATATACCTGGACATGTGTTTGAACCTTTTGGGTACTGATCCTGAACCAAATATTTAAACATTCCCAACATGTTGCATTTTTTTCCATTTTTGAACAACTCCTAAACACTGAAAATTCAAAATATATGATTTTTCAGTTTCCTATCCAACATGCAGAATGCTTGAATGATCTACTAAATCTTTAGTGATCTACTTTTTGTTATTATGCCATTAGCATAACTTGGTAAATTATCCTGCTTTTCAGGCATAGCTTCAATCTAATATGATATAGCTTTTCACTACTGTGCATTGCATTGCTTACCAATCAGGGAGATACATACAGTCTGTAAGATACATAAACACAGTTTGTATATATATGCACACAAAACTTGTTCCTCTTCAACTCTTCAACTGGAGAAGTTCTCTTTCTAACAATCATAGGGAATATGCCAATCAGATTATCATTGTGTAATTATTGAGTTTTACTGTGAAAAATTGTTTCAATAGTATCATACTGCTGCTATGCAGCCCATCTGGTAAACTAATGGAGAGTTAGTAGGAAGCCTTAGCACTACCTATCATACGAAGTGCCACTTTTAACCACAACTTGCCTATCCATGACTCATAAATGAAGTCACTCAGTCTTTGGGGAGGGAGAGGTGGTGGTTATTGTTAAGCATGATTTGTCTTTTTAAAAAACCTGCAATTTGAATTCCACATGAATGTATCTATTTTCCTAACTAAATCAATATACATTTAAAAATGGAAAAATTAATACCAGGCAAAATTCCAACAGCATGAAGAACCTAAGCAGTTATTTTCCATGGCATGCCTTTATGTATTGTATTTCCAAAATGGGGTCCTCTTTGCATTTATTACCTCAGAAAATATTGGAAGAATGATAATATTGGAAGAATATATATATGGCTCATTCAAAGTTTATTGTAATTATTTAAAGATAATTGATGCTAGTGCAAACAGAAGCAGAATAGAAAAGCAAATAGTTTCTTTCTATGCATCCAGCTATCTATTATCCATGACTTGTGTACAGTATTAGCTGATATTTTTGTTCATACTATTTGAGTTGAGAGTTCGATTTAAGTAGCTCAGTTTTTATCCAAGCCATTGAGTTTCTATCCACTTTCCTTTTGTAATGGTGCATGTTATGAAATTACGAAACTCTAAATCTTGTATGTATTTCCTTCACCTTGATGTAAAATGTTACTCTGATGATTTTTGCTGTTCTTTCAGGAAAAAATGTTATTACACTGACTGGAGGAGCAAAACCATGGGCAGGTTGGTGGGTGATGCATAGCTTTTAATTTTACCAGATAGTCATCCCATATATAACAAATCCATTATAGCAGTTGTAAATTTATCACAAAGGGTTTTGAGAAAGCTGATTGAATATTGGAGGCAGTAGAACTTAGATGCTTATTTATTTTCAGCTTTAAGCATGTGACTGACCTCAGCAGAAATAAGATAACCCAAAGAATCTTCCAAAGCAGTGATTATGTTAAATTTGGAAACAGCAATGAGGTAAAAATAAGAAAGGTTTAAAGAAAATGGATCTTTACATCTCTGAATAGCAAGAAATTTGTAGAAGCTTCAGTTTTGTATAGTACTTAGTACTGTTGTACTAAGTCTTCCAAAGAACATTTACTTTGAGGAACCTGTGAGTACTCATTTGTATATTAGATTTCAGGTCATGTAACACACCTTGTTAGCCATTTATCTGTGATACCAACAGCCCATCACAGTATATTTAGGAAGAAGATAGAAATATTGTTTCCATTAAACTCCCTTTGGCTCCAATCCGACAAGCTTTAGGCCCTTTCAAGTGAACAAGACAAAGGCACACTGAGATCATATATACTAAGCATATAATATCATCAGTGGCATCTTGAATTGCTTCTCCACCCCCATGATGATGATAGCCACTCTGGGAAGTCAAAAACATTTAAAAACAAAGAATACAAAAACACAAAACAGAAGGGGAAAGAACAATAATGGGAAGGAAAACAAACCCAGACGAGATCAAGAAAAGAAAGAAAGGGTATCAGCCATTCTACTAAAGATCTAGATCAGGGTGAGAAACTCATGTTGTCACGACAGCGTCACATGATGTATCAGGACTTTTTTCCTCTTCACTAAACCGGGCATGAGTGTGGTCAGTGTGTGACTCATCTGGTCCTTGGGCCGGGAGTTTGACAGCCCTGATTGAGATGAAGAGCCAAAACTTTAGGAACCTTTGAAAAAACCAGTAAGGTATGAAACCCTTTGAATTTTGAATTTTGAACTGAAGAAAACTCAGGAAAACTGCACTCTGGTGTTGAAAGTCTCAATTATTGCTTTTAAATATAAACTGTTTAAAAGCCTTTTTCAAACATTGGTATTTCCAATATTGACATAAATGTTTCATGAAGAATTTTTGCTCCATCTAGCTGTTTCTTTAAAAAAAAATGTATTATTTCTTATGGAATTTAGATAAGTTCTACTGCACTTCCATCAAAGTCCATTAGGCAGTGTTGAAATTCACATGAAATTAGCATGTGAAATTCTCTTGTTGTAAAACCATTTTCTCCTGTGATGGATAAACTCCATATCAAAATTTAATTGGAAGGAGAAGCAACACACATAATACTTTGAAACAGAATGGCAAAATGATCCTAACTTTGCTTCAAAATAATCATCTTGGATATTACATTTTTACCTTGTCTTTACTTCTGATATTGATTCAGTATCTAAGTTAAGTGAAGATAATGAGAGTAAGATAATGATCTAACTAGGATTTCTAGGAATATACGTACATATTGTCAATATTCATACACTAATTATTTTAAATATATATACAGTATATATTGTGTGAAAGCTATTGCTTTTCACACGCAGATATAAAATATTTGTAGACTGTAGCTTTGGATTATAAAAAATTTACAACTGCTTCCTTCCTCTCCCCGGTCATGCACGTGCTTGCTTTGTATCAGATAGTTCTCCTATATTATACATGTTTATACTTACTTGCTTTAAATGATGTGAAATAAACCATTTTCTCTTAAGGAATTAAAATCTAGACAGGGATCACATTCAGGCCATATTAATAAACATAACAGTTTATACATTTATGGAATCATTATTATGGAAGTTGAAACTCAAAACAATGGATTTATATTCAGA